TATTCAATGCAAAATTTTGGTCAGAACCGATATAGGTGTTGCTATATTAAATCAGATGTCGGAGTTAAAAACTATGACATAATGCCGTAGGTAATGACTACTATAAGAAATTTCTGGAACAAAAATCATTTTTTCACCTCTATTTTCGCTGATTTGGCGTTAACATTAAAAAGAAAAAAAGGTACGTATCAACATGTTCGATAATAATCATGTATAATCATGTGCAAAATAAAATTAATATACGCCTACGTACGTACATTACCCCCAAAAAAATGGTCATGATATCATAACCCCCTAAATACAACCAATAAAGGAATATGATTGAGAACTTAATTCGAAGAAGGAATGTGATTTATTGAAAGAAAAAAAAAGAAGTTTTTCTTTTAGCATTAATGTTAATCCGATATATCAACATGACGTAAAGTTTGTAAAGATCTTCCAATGATTTTAAAACAAATAAAAACCGTAAAGTTACCAATTTTTTAAATTATCAAATATCAATATCAATAATGGAATTGATAAGTACTATAGAAACTATAGATAAAGCTAGTAGCGGGTTATCGGGGTTTGGAATTAATTTACCGCAATATATTGAAGGAGCTGTAGAGATTGGTAAAATCATTAGTCATACGGTTATCGCAGTATTAACAGGCAATATTGCATTCCTTGTTGATGACATTGTTTCATATGCTCAAGCAGCTAAACACTGTAAGGCTGAATGTAAACGTCTTGGTGAACAATTCAAAATAGCACGTGATTCAGCCAAGGAATTACTAGAACAACTAGAAAAAACACCTAAAGAGATAGAAAATAAGAATTTCGTATCAGCATTAAAAGCATTTGCTATTGTTTTAGAGGATGGTCGAGCCGTTGTAAAACAACATGCAGAAGCAAAATATGGATTAAAAATCTTTTTTGCAAAGAAATTTGCAGCGGAATTTCAAGACATCGAAGATCGATTAGATCAAGCATGTAATCGCCTCAATTTCGCTATCAACATTCGTCATTTTGTTGATAGTCAATATGCGGAAGAAATTCAAAAAGCATGGCATGAAGAAGATAAAATTGCATTCGCAGAGTTAAATAATATTGTTAAAGAATCTTTGAAAGAAATTCGTGGTTATAAACTGTCATCGAATCCACCTACACAGTTAGGTACCAGAATTACTTTAAGGGAACTGTCTAATATACAGCAATTCAATGCGGGCAGACTTTTTACGGCTAATTATCATACTGTAGATAGCAACGGACAGACTAAGGTTACAAAAGTAGTCATCAAAGTGACAATGGCCCAAGAATCTGTAGTTGATGATGTATCAAAATTTTCACTAGAGGTTGCATATTTGAGAAAATTGGTTTCATGTCCAAATATCATTGACCTTATTGGTGTTACTAATATCCGTGGAAATATGTCACTAGTTTTGGAATATTGTGAAAATGGAGACTTACAAAATTTTATTTCATCGGGTAAATTGAAAGGTGATTGGGGAAAGAAACGTAGCATCGCTTTGGGTTTAGCCCAAGGTAAATAATAAATAAATATTTTTATTGTTTTTTTTTTTGACGACATTTACGTTGTTAAAAATTAAAATTGATTCGTTTTCATATAGGCATGGCATTCCTTCATAAAGCAGGAATTTTGCATAAATACATCAACAGTGCGAATGTTCTTTTGGATAGTCATTTTCAAGCAAAGATCACGAATTTTCGTAGATCTCGCTGGATCGATACGGGAAGTCTTGGGGTAGTTGATTCATTTGAAGAACAAATTCGTTGGACAGCACCAGAACGTCTTGGCGATAGTGTTACAACTTTTACTGAAGAGTGTGATGTTTTTTCGTTCGGTGTCGTGTTTTATGAAATCGTTTGCGAAAAATTTCCATGGGAAGGCTTAAATTTAAACAATGTTTATAAAGTTAGAAACGAAGGAAAGGAACTTATTCTTCCTTCTGATATACCACCTGCTATATCTAGTATCTATACTAATTGTACCCACATAGTACCGAACAGACGTTTCAAAACTAATGACATTATATATCATCTCGAAGCAATCCGACCCGAGGATTTGGATGGCACTATACAATTTAATGGGGAAGATAAAGACATAGTTAATGACGTATTAATTGTAGAAGAAAAAAATAATTATCTTAAACCTGAATCTGTTCGTTATCTCTCTATTTCTGATATTTCTGATGAAGAAGATTCTGGTCGCAGCTTATATCCAAAAGAAATATTAGAGAATGCTGAGACTTATCATCAACGAAGAGATTATATAAAAGCAAGGAGTGAATATGAAAAAGTTAAAGATGACTTTCCTCACGCCTTATTCCGATTGGGTGAATATTGTTATTTTGCTAAAGGCGTTGCAGAAAATATCCCACAAGCTATTCAGTATTTTGAAAAGGCTATCGAAGGTGGTGATGGTGATGCAATGGATATGATGGGTTATATATATTTAACTGGCAAAGGACATCAGAAGGATAGAATAAAAGCCGTAAAATTTTTTACACAAGCTGTAGAAAAAGGGATACCTCACGGGATGTACCATTTAGGTGTTTGCTATTTCAAGGGGCTTGGAGGTTTGAAAATAGACTTGGAAGAATCGAAAAAATTAATGTTGAAAGCTGCAAGTTTAGGGAATGAAGAAGCTAAAAATTTTGCCCATCAACAACAATGGGTCTAATATGGACAATGTAAAATATCCACTTGTATACAAATAATACAATGTTTTTTTACTCTTTTTCTTCAATATATTTATATATTTGTATATAGGCATCAATAATGTGCAAATACTTTCATTATCTGGCTTTAAATTTAATATGCCGCTTTCAGTCTCCGAAGGAGCTCAGAAATGGCATATTAAATTTAAAGCAAATAAACAAGTTATCGGTGTGTAGCATTCAATAACATACCAATTTACGACGACAGACTGCCAAATGACCTTATTTGCAATCTTGTCGTCGTAGAATTAGCCAGGGCGGCCCCCCCAAAGTACTGTCACATGATCAATCTTCGCCAATCAGGAAATGATAATATACGATTGTTGGAATATATAAGCAATTTACGATTGTTGGAGTTTAGAAACATATAGCTGCAGCTGCGATGTTCATCATGTGACCAGTACTTTGGGGGGCCGCCCTGGCTAATTCGTCGTCGTAAGTGTCGGATAATATCCCTGATGTGGTTGCCATGTATTATGCTGCATGTTAGTTTGACTTGAAGTTTCTCAAATGCAATTCCCCCAAAACCAATAATATTTGTTATTCGCCTATAGATAATCTTATTTAGTCGGGTCGGGCCAGGCTGGACGCGATCAACAATGTGCAAAAATTTGCTAGAAGCAAATATAATAAATATATACCGTATATAGTTGATAAAATTCCTTGATGTAGTGATTTGACCATAATCGGGTAACCAAACTGAGCTGATTAACCAATTAAGTAAAATTCCTAATCCGTTGACCCGCTGGTTTAGAGGCCCGCATGGGCCTAAAAAATTGTACTTTTGCCGGTCCTCAAAATACAGTAAAATTTGGGTTGTTGCCCAGCAAAACCATGCTTAGAGTATATAAAAAATATATACTCTAAGCATGGTTTTGCTGGGCAA